ACTACTATATCTACCCAACGCAGCGTTGGGTCAAATAGACTACTCGTTCATTGCTTTGTACAACGAACAACTCAATAACGTTCTAATGGGATTCCAGTGGTGGTAAGCCACGCGAGACCGCCACTCGACCGGCGACTATAACTTTTACTGTTCATTTATCGAACCTGTATTGTTTATGTAGACTCGACCTATAAAACTTCACTGTATGTTTTATTTTTTGCTCTCCATAAAGGTGTTCAGCGAGGTCAGCTGACATTATTGTTAATGTTGCACGTGAATCAAACATCTGCTAAACAGATTATGCGGGATGAGAAATGGGTGCGTTCGAGACCCAATGAAAATCTGTGGTTGTCTGCCGAATACTTGTTACATCATCTCTTAAAAATAAATTGGTTGCCTGTTCAATTAATACACTGATCGTCTGCGCATTTAACAAGGAGGCTAACGAGACTAATTACTGTGATATTTTGATTCCAATGTAGATTTTATTTTTCAAAAATCATGTAGATATGTGCTAGTTGCTTCATTTTCTATCACGTGATACATCAATATTTCTTCCATTGCTATAAGATTAAATTATCTAGATAAATCATTATTTACATGCAATAATATTAGGTATTCGTAGTAAGGTACCTGTACCAACTTAATTAAAAAAAATACTCTTATAGATTTTCACATTATTATGCTAGTTTTTTCCACAAATACAAGAATCTAATATGTGTGTATGTATATACCTAAAAATGATTTATACCTAACTGTTAACGCGCACTTGAGCTGTTTCGCGACGACACATTCATGTTATCTCGAAAACAATGCGCAAATAGAATTCGAAATGAGTCTGATTCATTCACTTGCTTACTTATTTGACGTGACATGTTTTTGTTTCGACTCCTTTGGAATGACTTATCGAATTTGGCGTATAGATATCAATGATTCCATCTTTACAAAAGAAAAAACTTTTCGTTATCAAATAAATACCTTACCTTTCTGAAATTGTTATGAATATCAAATGTTTGTATACAACAACGTTAGTAAATCTCTATAAATGATAAGACAATCACAGTACCTATAACCGAGATTCCGCCGCAACGCGAAGATTAATTTCCTTCCAGTTGCCGTTTCTAGGTCTCCCATTCGATTCACCGTTGGTTTGTGCTTTGCTACAGATTACGGATATTACGTGATCCAGACCATATGCCGCCTCTACCTTAGCTCTTGTGATCTGATATTGAGTTTGGTTATAGCGTTGCTGTAATCAAACTACCTTACTATTTTATTAAAACTCATGTGGTGTTATCTCGTACGTTTCCATTGGAAAATTGTGACATGGATAGCAACTAGAATCATGTCTAGTTCACGAACATAATGAAAGTAATAAAGACAATATACGATGTACGATACGAATAAAATACAGTAGGTGGTAGTGGCACCTAGATACAGTACGAAATGATTCTGCTCAAATTAAACGTCACTTTGTTAATTGTTTGTCTTGTTATACTTTCCATTTGACCTAGTCTTACAATAGTCGCTAGTCTAACTGATTCTCGCTCTAAATTATTCGGAGGCATTCGTACCTTTACAATACTGCAATTAATTGGAGATAACTTCAATCTTATTGAGAGCACTGGCATGCAGGAACACTCAAGAGTTCGTAGTACTTACCATGTAAATAAATATCTTTAGAATGGTTTTCAAATTACAACGGAAGTGCTATTACCTCAGAGCATCACTGAATTTATCTTCCCGCACCCTTCAGATAAACAAAGAGGCACACACTTAGAATCCACATAACATACCTTTCTTAAAATAGCTCGCTCGCACTTAAAAAGAGCATTTCCCCTGCCTTCCTTTTAAAAATATGCCTGACTTAAACATTGTTCAATGAATGATTTATTGCAGCTCGGAACACCTGTTACATATTTATGTTATTTTTATAGAATGCAGAGGAAGTTTAAAGTTGCATAGTGTAGTGAAACTAAGTAGATACTTACAGGGAAAGAGTGGTTTTCAGGAGAAATACTTTCTCTGTTCAACAGAGAACAAAGTTAATTTTGTGTTATGTAGTAGTAATTAATGGTACTTTATTGTAAAAAACAAAAATGGACCAGAAGTAACTCAAAAGTAATTTTCTTATGGGATAAGCCGGTAAACGAGCAGACGGGGCACTTGATGGCAAGCAATCGGCGTCGCCCATGGACACCCGGAATACCAGAGGCACAAGTTCGTTACCGGCCTTTTGGGGATTAGGAATTTGAGGATTGTTGGGGTTTCAGGAATTGGGGAGATTGAGGAAGGAGGGGAGGGGGTGTAATCTCACACGAAGATACGCAACGCAACCGTTGTTTCACGTCGGTTTTCTGAGAGGCCGTGGTATAACTCCGGTCGAGCCGGCCATTCGTGCGAAAGCATGGCTCTCCCACGTTTAAGTCTAATAAAGTTCCTCTAATAGGTATCCGGCATTAACTTAAAACAAACTGTATCTATATACTAGATACAAATCAGGACATCTGGTTAAAAGTGATGGGCTCGTGTTATCGTTCGGGTTCATCCATAAACTAAGCACTGGACGTGGCTTGGCTTGACAAATAATTGATGACGACACGCCCGTTGGAATGCCCGCCCGCAAACCGGAAACCGGGGCGCACTACCGTTAACATCGTGAAATTAGAAAACCAGTTTGGAACTGCCTTTGTAATAATGTTTATTTTGCTAAATTAAAATCTATTCAAAGTTTGGAATTAATTTTATACGAGCTTGTCTCGAGACTGACATCTGAAAGGTTTGTTGATAGAGTTTGGTGATTAATTGATTCACGTCGTATCATAGGTCTCGAAGAATTACTTCACAATTACATAACTTCTCTATTATACAACAGGGCTTTTGTAATAAAACGGTGGAATGTAGAAGTACTGTTAAAGTTCTCGATATGCATATCAGTTTAGCGCGATATTCGCAACTCCGGTATCTATCTACCTATGGCGGTACTCCAGTATCCGTCGGTCGATTAACTACGGGTTACGGGACTGTTACAATTTACCTGCTCTATTAAACACGTTTTGTAGATATTTCGTTTGATAGCACTGCGTAAATAATAGACACGCTTTCTTAGACATGTTTGTTCATTATTAAAAGGTAACGAAGATGCTCTCATAAGGTACTGCATCGTCAAGAAATAATTTAGTAGAATACGTAAATAATTAAGGCGCAGGGTCGTTCTAAATGGGTCCTTAAATCCTTATTTCCAAGTACAATACTGTTGATTTTGTTGAAATGTTGTTCAAATTTCGTAAGTTTGGTACTCTCCGGGGCTGTTTAATTATTCTGACCAAAGAACGGAAGGATAAATTAATTTACCTTTTAATGAACCGAAGAGAGGAAGTAATGGATGAAAACATTGGGCTTGATTGTCAAATAGTAATGATACGGAATTCTTTCAAAGTACCTATGTGTAGGTACTATTAACATAAAAATAATGAAACGTTTAACACATGAGTGACGCATGGTGTATGTATCTAACTACTTTATTTTTGTCTTCGACATGTTGTTCAATTGAAGCCAATAAATTGTAATCAGTTCGACCAATTTTTTATCAGGCTCAGATTTTGTCCTATTTGTTTTTTGTTTATGGTAACTCTAAATAACAACTCATTCCGAAATCATATTTAAACTTGTAGGTAGTTAATGACACACTTTAAAGAATAAAATGCTAAGAATAAATGAAGCCATAAAATTAAAATATTTAAGTCGTCATTATACGAAAATTTACAATGTCATCATTTAAATCAGTACCAGGCATTGTTTAATAAAACGTCTTTCATTCATCTTAAATGATGACGATCACGTACAAATTACATTGTCAAATGGTTTAAAATTGAGCACTTAGAGAGGTTCACTTTGACAACTTAAAAGAGATGAGAATTGTAATGAAGGCGAATAGAGTAGATTGCGACTCTACTTATAATATTCTGTAATAGAAACGACTGTTATAATAATCACAAGTATAAACCTAGACCTTTGATCAAAATCTGTGAGGAGAATTAAAGCCCGGGGGCCTTCTATTACTGTAGAAACAACAAGTTCTCAGACATTCTCGGTAACAGAAAAGTTCGTCTCGAGACTAGAGATTTAATTGAAAGTGAAATCAAACAATTGTTCATAGCTATTTCTAAATTTTGACGTCCTAGGTTTGCGCAGACCTTGCTTCTAGCTATCAAATTTACTAACATTTCATTTCGTGTTCAATATTGACGATGATGTTCAATTAAATAAAAATGATTTGATTTAAAAATGTAATTCGTATACAAAATATCTGGGTTCGACCTTGTCTCGGTGTTTTACAATGTTTTGTTTAACGTCTGGAAACGTGGAACAATCGCAAATTATTTTGATGACCGCAATGTTTATGCCCATGTGCCAATTACTCTCATGTTGACCTTCGACGGCCCTTAGCTCACAGAATGCGTGCGATGCAATAGGTCCTTGTGTGGCGATAACTGTGCTATATGCCGAAACTGCGATGTTGCCAGTACCGTATTTGGATGTTCAATGTAGCAAGGTATCGTGTAGTGTAGGTTACTTGAAGAACTTTCTTAAAAGGTTACGAAAATAAACAATGTACTGTGTAGGTACTTACAATGTCAAATTAACAGTCGCACAGTTACACTACGTGTTACATTGACAATTAATTTTCTTTACAACATGATTATTGTTTATTGTTTATAAGGTTGTTACTAAAACTTTCAGTCCATTCGTATAGTTTCCTCCTACAAGAATTTTCAGTTTAAAACCACAGAGAATATCTTCAGTACGACGCAACGTAATTAAAAACATTCATTATGTCAGCTACCTCATTTATCCGATTTTATTTTCATAGTACTAACATAGCAATCTAAACTTGGAAAACAGCTGGGTACCGTACGATACAAACCGGTCACTCTGTAAACATTTGTGTGTAAATTCTTAATTATCAACATAACGCTAAATTGTTTTTTATTTCGCAGACATTCCCGATATCCCTGAGGATATCAAGAAGCTGCGGGCGCTGCAGATTGCGGACTTTAGCAGCAACCCGATCCCGCGGCTGCCAGCTGGATTCAGCCAGCTGCGAGCGCTCACCGTGCTCGGCCTCAATGACATGTCGCTCACCAGCTTACCTAGCGACTTTGGCAGGTGAGATATACCTCTGGGAACTTCAAGAATACAGGAGTCGTTTGACGAGCCGTACAGAGCAGATCGGACTCTTTATAAATTTATATAAAAAATTAAATTATAACGCAATATTCCATTACCCAGCGTGTCAATAATGCTCAAATTGTTCAAGGATGGCAAGGTAATGAATAAATCCGCGGAGTTAATTCAATGTTTGACTTTGACGTTCATTAGCTAGACGACTAGGTGTACCTAGTTAACTACCTCTAGCTAATAAAAATTCTGTCGTAACCGACGAGCTTTTGTCAGTTTTGTGGGACAAACATGACAAAAGATTTTTATTCATAAAAAATAGACGTTTGTCACGAAATGAAAACAGATTGTACACGTTTATTACGTGTTTTCATGTGATATTTCGCTCTATGTAAATGATAAGTAGGTTAGTAATAGTAACCATGCTATGATGTGAAATGATATATAAAGTATCTTTGTTAAAAACCTATCTAGTATTTTGTTTTTATTAAGCTGGTAGATAAGTTTGAAATAATTCTATGGAATGCATGTTAGGAGTGTACTTTGATAAGAATTAAGAATCGCTGCGATCGTTATCTTCTGTTATCAACTTAAAGTTTAACAATGTTTAACAATATTTACTCATTCGGGATCTTTATTTCATTGTTAATGTACAGCACATACTTTTACAATCAAGAACACTACGTTCGTGTTTATCTAATGTCTAGACTTGCTTTGTAACAGAGGGGTAGCTTGCTAAAAGTACATATGGCGAAATCAATTTCTTAGATTAAATATTAGCCTTCCAATATAGTAGCTCAATGTTACCAACCAAAGTAATAAAACGAAGATTATTTTTCTTCATCGCTTGCTTGTATTAGATGGTTCCTACTTTTCTGCTCGGCTTAGTACTCATTTCCTGTGGGAAATTGAATTTAGTTCCGTAATAATCGAATATCTGATGTGTATGAAACCTGACTAATCCATCGGCTGTCAAAATTTATCCGGGCGATAATCGAGTACTTGTCCGATATTAACTTGGATACAACAATATAAATAAAACGATAACATTTTAAATCTCAATTGTTGAGTTACATAAAGCTGTAGGTTATGAGTGCTGTTTAAAAATTTATAAGGTTGTAGTGGACCTAAATTATTCAGTAGATTTCAGCGACACGTGACGTCCTTCGCAAAATGGACGGACGAAGTACACTGGAGAGAAATGATTTCGGGATACTTATTAGTGACCCTTATTACTATAGAAATAATTTATTCATATATGTATAACAGTATTAAATATGGACAAATGAACGTTCTTGATTTTAGCTTAATTTTGACATAGCATACACAGATCATGATTTGCTAACTTTATTCTGTACCTAAATAACTGTTGGTTTAGAGTCTTCGGGCAAGCCAAAACTCCAGAAAAAGTTTAAATAATGAATGAATCCTAAAGGCATAGAATTCGTATTATTTTAACTGTATGTGTATCTCTATTAAACATTTATGAGAGTGAAGTTCGTGACGTAAACTCATTGCTACCGAACGAGATTTATCTAGTCACCTAATAAAGGTACGAAGTAACGAATTACTCTTCAAATAAATTATTCTCTCTGTAAGTAGTCATGTTCTGAAACGTAGTATAATCTCATAAGAACTCAACAAGATCTTGACTTGTATTTATTTTTATTGTCGAAATAACTTGCTACTTCTAATTTATCTCTATTGTAGACGTGAAAGTTGATAAAATTGATGTAAGAAGGCACGACTAACAAATTGTCTGACCAAGCTTTGTTTGAGCTCAAGGCGAAAGCGAAAGTTGAACTGGAAAGCTATGGTCGGCTCTTAGAAATAACCTCTTATTGACGACCGTACAAACAAATAAATAATACCTTTGTTAACTTGTTATTTACACATTCTTTTTGTCAGAAGTACAATCTTATTCATATATACCTTCTATTGTGTAACGTTTAGACTTGTATAGAGATCACGGAGAAAAGCTTTGCTATTTATTTATTTTTTTATATCGTTACAATTGGTTTTTTGCGTAGTACATTTTTAAACTACAAGTATTTCTTCTGAATACTGGGTAGTTAAGTACATATTAAACTGGGTCCAAGTTTGGTTTTTTGTTTTGTCAATTTCAAATTTCTTAGTAACTGTTCTGAGCCTAGAAACGTTTATGAAGCACAATACTTTATCTACTACGCTTGTCTTTAAACAGCAATGATGAAAATTTAATGTATAGTTGGAGGATTTTAATTAAGTAATGGAAACGTCCTATGTTGTTTCAAGAATCTTTGGACCAATTTAAAATGTTCTGTACCTTTTAAAGAAATGCCTATGACAATTCCTGTATGACTAATGTGATCTGATTTCGCAACTACCAAGGTTAATGTAATTGTACCTATTTATACCCCTGTGTAGTATTATCTACTAGCTAGATTAATATGAGCGTCATTGTCTAGTGACCGTAGTACTCGCGTGATGTCGATGACTAATACCGTGTCTTGCACATTACATGTGTATGCAGCTTTTTTTTTTTTTTTTTTTTTGAGGGGGGAAAATCATCCAATGACTTCTCCCGCCTGGGTGAGGCGGGAGGGAGTGTCAGACTCTTACTGACTAAAAACCACCCCGTTCCTACACCTGCACTTCGAACCAGAGCCCCGGCAACCCGTGCCATTGCGTATCAATACTATCAATTAACCAAGTTAAGTTACTTTGCTAACAGAAAGTAATTGCTTACTGATGGATTGATATACCAACTTAACGATGGAGTTACTTGTCATCAATGTTCTATAAACATCGATACTTAAATATATAAACGTATATCTAGGAGTGATGGTAGTAATCTAATTTGTTTTCTGAATTTTGTCTAAAGGTTTATATCCATTCGCTAGTAACCTACAATATGAGATATCCATATAAAAGATTTCAAAAATAAATCCAAAGCCATCTATTTTAAGGATTTATTACATTATGAACCCACCAGCTTCATCGAAATGATTTTTCCGGGAAAAGTTAATTATTTTCTCGAGAACGCAATTTTCAGGCGTTTGAGCCCAAATCAAATCGTCGTTCGATTTATCCTTAGAGTATCGAATATTTCCGCGTCTCATTTGAATACGAATTAAATATTATGAAGGGATTGGTTGATGTAGGTAACCTCGAGTTTTTGAATATGTTTGTGACAGGGATACTGAGCGCGTTGCATTGGTTGTGTGATAGGGCGTGACCAAAATATCTTATCAAGAAGTATAAAACCAGGTAATAAAACTGTACTCGAAATGTTTCAGTACCTAGATAGTACCTAGGTATTATATTATCTGCTTTAATATTTTCAAAGACTAGGTATTCTCCGCTCTCATAATTCAGAATTACTTTTCATAATAGAATAGCTAAGCCAAGAATATTATGTTCTAACCATAAAGTTCTGCTCTCATCTTAGTTGCAAAGATCCGTTATTGAAGACGTGTATTAACGTTACACGCTGCATCGTTGCTATAACTTATTTCTTTATATTACACTGATTAATGTTTTCCTTTACGATTTAATTGACACATTACACCTCCTTAAGACGGAGCCGTTTATAAGACGAGAGGCGTCTCGTTTTTATTATAATAATAAACCTAATTTTCAGACTTCATAAAACATTTTTGTGATTGTTGCGGTTAAACATAGCATTAATTAACAAGAATATAAGTTTATTAACGTTCTATTTAGGGATCCGGGTCACGAACATCGTACCATGCTTACTGGAATACGTACATAGGTATGATTACTCCATATTCTAATTACTTGAGTTCATAAGCGGACTTAGTGTGAGTCAGAACTACGTTGTTGTACAAAACCGACGCTAAGTACTTTGACATCGACTACGGAATGTGGCCTCAAGGCTCTAAACAAACATGACGTGTGCTCACGTATTATCAGTAAACAATAGGGCTTTTTCATAACACCATAACTCTCAGACAATTACTTAATCTTTGCCAGCATTCTCAAAGGAAGACAATTAATATTTAAAACGCTTTTGGCTACTTGTTATTTTATATTTGAAACTGGCTTCACATTTATGAGATTGTTAATTTCCCAGTAACATATCTGTCGGCACATTGCAACAGTTTTCTGGAAATCCGTCACAGTTAGCAGAATACAAAATATGTCCGTGTTGTACATTTTAATGTAGAAGGACGTAGTGGCGGTGGTAATTATTATTCAATGTTTTTTCTATACAGGGTTTTTACTGTTCGCAAAATACATAAGTACTTAAATTATAAAGACCACCTCGTAAAATTATACAAGCAAGAAAATATATTGGGAAAGAGTTCTTAAAAAAAAACTATACAATTTTAATTGCCTAGCTCGTTTACATCAATTCACCCTTCGCAGAGAAAGATCTAAACTCTGGCCGTTGTTGTTTATTTATTCAAACACTCAAGTTTACTTTTAAAATAAACACGCGTCGTATTGGCGGATTGAATGTAATTTAAAACCTGTTTTAAACTTTAATAACATGTCTCTCCGCTAAAGGTTTTCTTCCACATTCCTAACAGGATAATTTTCTGTCAGTTTGTGCGACTTGAACTTATGAAACGTATGTGTTAAATGCACTTAAACCTGCTAGACTTATCTGCTTAACTTATACGTGCCTGTCTAGCCAGTTACCCTGTCGGGATCCTACGTGCCGCCTCCGATATAAATACAGTTTCTTCATTTTAAATATCTTAATCTTATGTGAATGTCTTGTTTTAACAATCAGCTTTGTCCAAATGAGACTAGAATTAATCTATATTAATTGAATAGAAATGACTACTCATTAGGTAATTTGAATAAGTTGTTATCTGGTCTGGAGTTTAGGATGACGAAAATATGAATTCTTATTTTCTACTTCCAAATACTCCGAGAAATATTCACAGTCTTCATTTCATTATCTTTTATTGCTATCACGAAGACTTTTTGGCAAAGTAAATTTCATTTTCTTGTGCTAAAGAATTCCTACGGATATTACAGAATAATTACTTCCCTAATGCTATTTCATTTTGTTATGAAAATCATTTCAGTTCTCGTCGTAAAATGAAATGGTTGATAGTTTAAACATTTCCGTATTAGTTTCTCACGATTCGTTTAACAGTTCTTTGAATTTCATGCTATCTTTTCCATATTAAATCATAACAATGTTCAACACTTCAGTTTTTTGTTTATTTGTAAGATATTTTATGGAAACTGTTACATTCAACTAGACTAATGAACAGATAAAAAAATCTCTGGGAATAACGAGAAATCTTACGAGAATCTTTAAAAAAAACTGATCTGTTTTGTCAAAGATAAAAAGAAAATATTAGTGTTAAATTAACCTTGCAACGATGCAGTGGGAGTTGTTAAGATGTTGTTACTGTGAGACTAGTCGTTCCATTGTGTTTCCACCTCGCTGACTTGTCTCATCAAATTATTATTATGTCACAATTGTTGGTTTGCGAAGGTTAAATGCTATTAAATGAATGCCTCTACTTTTATTTGCTGTCTAGAACTGTTTTAATGTTAGAATTTGTATCGTTCCAGTTTGGTCTCCCTCCAGTCACTTGAGCTGAGAGAAAATCTACTAAAATCACTGCCGGAGTCGCTGAAAAATCTAACCCGATTACAAAGGCTGGATCTTGGTGATAATGACATTGAAGAACTGGTACGTTACTGTTACATCACTCTCTTGTCTCATTGTGGTGTATTTCATGACAATAATAATTTAATCTTGACTCGTGACCAATTTCAGCCGGGTTTCATCGGAGAGCTGCCCGCTCTGGAAGAATTGTGGTTGGACCACAACAAACTCCAGTATTTGCCACCAGAAATCGGCAATTTAAAGGCACTAATATGTCTAGATGTGAGTGAGAACAAACTAGAGAAAATTCCTGAAGAAATCGGAGGCCTGACCTCGTTAACAGACTTACATCTTTCACAAAATATGCTGGAAACTGTACCTGATGGTATCGGCGATTTATCCAAGTTAGCTATACTGAAGTTGGACCAAAATAGATTACATACATTAAACGAAAATGTAGGAAGGTTAGTATATCGCACTGTTTAACATATATTTCATTTTGTTAGTTTATCTTGAGCTATTTATATCGCTAATGATTCCGTATTACTCTTCCAGGTGTACAAATCTACAAGAGCTTATATTAACGGAGAATTTTTTAATGGAGCTGCCTAAGTCTATAGGGAATCTCAATGAGCTGACTGTACTGAATGTAGATAGGAATACCTTGGCTGAGATACCGTTAGAGATCGGTAATATGACTTTACTGGGTGTATTGTGCCTGAGAGATAACAAATTAACGAAATTACCGAATGAGCTGGGAAATTGTAAATCACTACATGTGTTGGATGTAAGCGGCAATAGGTGAGTTATGTTACGGAGATAAAATAAATGTTTATTTCATTGATAACCTATGTATATCTCACTGATGCATTTCAGTAAAATAACATATTATAAACACGGTTTAGACATCCCGAGTTGATTTTTGTTGCTGATAACGGCATTTATTTGCTTTTATCTTTGAGTGTTTATATAATTACGGTGATTATTTACACAAATATCACCTCTATCTTTACAAGTAATTACGATATTATTGGCTTACGTTTCGTATCTTAACAGATATTTTTGAACTATAACTTACATGATTTCTGGTTTTGTTGCTTTCAAATGTAATGACGTAAGACGTAAAATAAAGTAAATAAAACACCATCCAATGTTACTTTTATAACCACGTTGAGAGAGACTTTGGTGTTGTATTCTAAAAATTTCAATTATAGTGGATTCTTTAATGAATTAGCTAGAGAGACCACCTTAACTCCAATAGCAAAAGTGCATTCGGCTCTTGTCTTCAAAAACCGCCGATTTGACAATAATGTTTTAATTTGATATTCCAGGTTACAGTACTTACCTTATACGTTAGTGAACCTGGAGCTCAAAGCGGTTTGGTTATCGGAGAACCAGGCGCAGCCACTGCTCACCTTCCAAACGGACAGGGATGAGACCACTGGAGAGAATGTTCTTACTTGCTTTTTGCTACCTCAGCTTAGTTATACTCAACAACCAGGTATGGGAGAACCCTTTTTTCACGGTAACGCTTTTGGTGTCCTGTTCGTAGAGCAGTATTTAGTTGGTTCATACTTCTTCATCTTACCTATCTACACGGGTTTTGTCAATTTCATAAGCTTTTTGATTCATGTGATTGTGTTAGACTATTTTGTAAACTATTGAATTTACCGTTGTTTTGTTTTGACACTTTTTAATACTTTTTTAATTAATTCAGTTTTTTGACACTATCACAAGTTGATGGTGGAATTTATAATTGTAATACATTGCTATCAATATAGCATAGTAAATATTATTACAAGTTACATAGTACCGTTTGCTTTTATGTGAGCATTTTGGTATGTAAATGTACGTAAATGTTGTTTTGGCCATGCTTCTCGTGCTTTTATTTAATTATGCAAAATCGGGGACAGTTCACAAAACTGGTTTGGTATTTATCTGCTGTATGTGCATATGTATTCGATTAAGAATCGTAATACTTTCGTTATTCCTTTTATATCAGTGTGAATTGACACTGGTCTCCATACAAACCGCCGTTTGTTTTGGGTGTCAAGTACATTAATTTGAACACATGACCTGACTCAAGTGCCGGTGTGGCCAGAAACCAATGAATCGTTTTTCAATAAAATAATGGGCCATTGTAAATGAATGGCAAGCATCCTATTACGTAACACGAAAATATTTAATCACATATCGAATTGCGGATTTATTGGCCAATTCTTCCAGTTATTGAATGATTCATGATTCGGTTTCTTGTAAAAGTAACTTTGCAGTTTTTGTATATTAAAGTATTGTGAACTGTCTCCGTGCTGTTCTTGTTTTGTTTTTGCTGTGTAAATATACTAAATGCACTTGTCACACACGAATAGAGCTGGAACACACGTCAGAGGTCGGCAGTGGACACTGGTTCAGGGATCACAGATTTAATTCACAATCGCAAGAGCTAGATAGAAGAGGTAAGGTTCACAAAAGTATCACTTTAATATCATGAATTGAAACTTTTGCTAAATCTGCTGCGAGAATATCCAACGTCCATCTGATTGTAAACAGCATTCTAGAATAAAACTATTACTCAAATTTTGCTTGAAAACTCACAAATAAAACCTGAGATGAAAACAGGACTGATGTAAATCATCCTTGATGAAAGTCCGAGTGAAGCAAGCATCTGCAAAATATAATAGATTTTTCACCATGAAATATCTATCTAAACAAACCTGCGTTAGAGTTTTATTGTTTATATTGAACAAATAAAAAAACCTCGAGCCAGTTTTACTATCAGATGGACGCGCGACTTTATCAAGGTTGAAATGAAGATACTCTATTATTATGACAATTTTGCACTGTTATTATTTTTACGGCACAACGCAATTCATGGTCATCATGCTACTAGCACTGAATAGAACTGTAGTGTTGTTTAGTATCTACTTATTAACTATTTTACTTGTTTGATTTTTTATTAAATTGATTCCAGTCTGTTGCTAGGAACATCATACAATCATTACCTAATTTATCATCGATATAAATTTGCGCAACACAAGTATGATAATGTTATATCATTATGGCTTTTAATGTTTGTTTGTTTTGTGACGTATCTGTCTACTTGTATTTGTCTTGTGTTTGTCCTTTGGTTTTTATTCTTAACAAAGTTGGAGCATTTTTTGTTACTATGAAAGTAAAGAAAATCCTTGGATTATAATATAATTTAATGCTATTTACTAGATGTGGATATAAATACTTATTTCTGATCTGGTAAGATTTTCGCATCAGTTGACTGCCTTGTGGACTCCATAATAATGACAGTTACCTGCGCAGTTGTCACATGATAATTGATTGCACATCACATACCTATTTAATTTGCCATGTGCACAACATTTCAACGTGTATTTCAACATTCCATTAACTAAACTGGTTCAACAGAATCGAGCGTATCTCGCGACCGGGACTCCGACGACGAGAATTGGGAACAGAAAGAGAACTCAAGAACACACTCTGTCAAGTTCACTGAAGAAATGCATGAAGTCAAAGAGGTGAGATTTTGCTGTTGTCATTTAACCATCACTACTAAGGGACGGTATAAACGTAAAAGGAAAATGAACCTTATGTCGTCTGGATACGGTTATAAGCATTTTCGATATAATGTATCTTCTTGCTTCCACAAAGCTGGTGACACGCTTAGAGAAAGGTGGAGGAATGTAGGCTCTTGGTACAGAATACACGTACGCGAAATGTTTTCAAGGCACAGAGCTTATCTAGCACTCAGTACAATACTTGTAGCCTTAGAATAATCTCAGTATTCAACGATATACTAAACATACATGTATAAATGTTATTAACGCTTATATATAGCATGTTTTTGTTATTTGTCGAATATACTTACGTCTCGACTTGTATAAATGTACAGGAACGGTCGACTGATAAACGATCTTTATATTTAGTTGGCTATGAATTACATCTTTACAGTATTATTTAGTGTAAGCTGGTACTAATATTTTATGTTTATTTATGTAATAAACTTTTAATTTGTATTATTATTTATCTTTTATTTGCATGTTTTGTTTATACCTCTGTTATTATGACTGAAACAAGAATAACAGTTGAATGAAATTAATTGAAATGGCGAACCATTTTCGAAGTCATATAATATGTAAATTGATGTCGATGTGTACAGTATTATTGCACATTCTTTACTACTCTTGCATACAATGAACTAAATATGTCCATAAAAACTTATATTACTTTCATTTTATTCTTAAACACCACAATCTCATAAATATCAATGGTATGTTAAATATATTATGGTTTTATTTCGCTTTGTATTTTTTAGACATGAAATTATGAGTAATTTCAAGTGATATGAATATCAAGAGATATTTTCGCATAAAACCAATTACAAGACATGACCGCGTTTGCAATTTAAAGTTTTTCTCCTTAAAATTAGGTCAAGGGCGACAGGAAAATTGAATATTTGTACACATTCTAATGACTGCTTTATTAAATTGTTTGAATATATATTCACTATATTATTTTATACATAAACAAGAGAAAATATGTTGACATATTAAAAAACGTAGAACGTCAATGGTCGTGAAGTGTGCCTGGAACAGAAATTTTGATGTTAAAGGTTTCAACGATTCAGGAGGAGAATGAGGACGTGACGCCTTCCGATTCCTTCGCACAACAGTCGATGCTTTCCTTCAAGCGGCCTATAAACGTAGTTCGCAAGCTAGTCACTACACAACGGAGGAGTTCCCTGCAACGACTCTCCTCCTCTATAACTAACCTCGCGGAGGTATGCGGCAAAGCGTCTCGCGGGGTGCATTCACAAATAAACATTCCTATTTATTACATTTACCTTTTTCAATTTACGTACATTTATGTAATATATTAATATTACCAAGTTTCCAACACATTCTAAGAACCTGTGAACAAAATTATTGGTTATAATATAAATCGTGGTTCATGAAGCATTGAAGGATAAAATACCATGATGTCATTCCTTTACGTCTTAATAAAATGTTTCTGAAATACAAGAGAAACGGTTGTTATCAACAGTGTAAGTACATTTAACTGTAAACACAGATATCACCATTTTGTTGAAACTCGCAGGCCAACCTGCAACTTACTAATAACACTTGATATTGTAACAAATATTGTGAATGCACTACCAAAGAGTTCTGTATGCGCTGTCCGCCACTAAGCCTCTAGCTCTATCAGTATTTAGATATTAGTTTGTTTTCTTTGGAAGTAGACTAATGCATAGATAAATTAGTGTTGTTTTTGCGAACGCATTGACAATTTTTTTTCAACGAATTCTTACTCACAGACAACAAAGTTACGCAACACTAACCACACCTGACCCGGCACGATAAGACACTCAAAATATTTCATTAATTCAAAGACACTACCAAAAATTTTGTAAAACGCACTGAACGTTTGAACCGTACCATCCATACTAAAATATTCCTCGAAGTAATACCACATTGCGCACAATGTTTGAACTGCACTTAATGTAGATTAGCTTTAAACCAGTAACAGACGTCGTAATGTCACGAAGGAGAGACTACGTGTGATATCATATCCTGTGAATCATCTGTCTCACATGTTGCGACATTATTCGGTTAATAGGTTAAGTGACAATTATAATATTTCGGTACATAGGGTTATGAACATAACTGGGATAAGACACTGAGTTCCACACGTCATGTATGGATTCGAAACATCTGTTCTTATATTTTGATTGTTGTGTGCGAATTTCTTGCTATGCCGCAAACGTTTAGGAGTACTAAAACATGTATTCCAATTTTATATTTTTAAAATAACATATTACTGTATTAAATCACACACTTATGCTTGCTTCTTAGACATTAATTCGATAATTTACACCTTAATTAATTACTAATGCACTTCTGCACAATATAATAACGACTGAATGATGCAAGTTTTCAAAATATATTTTACATTTTTTAAAACTTAAGCATTAATTTAAGATCAAATTTTGCTTATCAAATATTTTTATTATTACCTACAGCATATTTTTCTTATGACTAGTTTACAAAGTCTTGTCGTTACGTGCTTTTATTCAGCTAGGGCACTTTTTTAATATTAAGCATGAGCATGCCAATGTACTTACCTATTCAATTTTTTAAATTCTACAATGCATTTACTTATAAAGATGAATGTATCTAATGCTATTATTAATATATTAATTTTTCCCCAGACTCCATTTGTCCGACAAAATACACCTCACCCGAAGGATTTGAAGGCGAAGGCACAAAAACTGTTGGCGGGACGGTCGCCAGAGGTCGCGGCGCTTCAAGCAGCGAAACAGGAGCAACCGACTACAAACGGCATATCGATGTCACCACCCGAACACGTTCTTGGGCCGGCTGAAACTGAAGTAAGTTCATTCGAATATTTCTTTAATAGAAACCACACTACATAAAGCCCTGTGTAACCATGTCAAACTCACCTCCATTTTAGAGTAATCTTTTAGGAAGGCTTCATATAATTTGCTACAGACCCTAGACATGCTAATTACGTCCCTGTCTCTACCTACCAATGTATTGTGTATGAAATATTATTTGAAATAAAATAAATACACCAAAATAATTTCCATCTTGCAGTTGAGACTACATTGCGGCCTAGTTAACATAAATCCGCCTCTGTTTCTTGCAATAGATTAAATTCGTTTATTATTAAACTTTAATATTTATCGGGCAATATTCTTGAGCTTCCGTCGTACTTTCGATCAAAGCGCGATACGGATTAAAATTTATAGCTTCTCTATCTTGGCAGCCATTACATTTTATGGTCGCACATTTATTGACAGCTTAGAGTATTCATGAAAGAGAATTTTCTCATTTTACATTTATGATGAGTATTACGCTTACTTGAGTGGGCTAATGCGATGCTTTTAACATGCAACAGGTGACAGGTGTAGAGTATATAATATTTATATGTTAATGTCAACACTGTTAAGGAAGTTTCTAGAATGCAATGTTAGTTGATACACAAGTCGTTTACTTTTATTGACGTGGAGCAAGATGTTAAGACAATAGTATTATGCATCTTTTCAGCGGTCCAATGGACATTTTTTTTGTTAGGTTAAGCTAAAATTTTACATTTATGGTCAAAATAAGAGACGGTAATTTTCACCAAATATTCCCTAAACTATCTCTTATCTAAAAGTAACTTAGCGTGACGTAGCACCTAAACTAACCCCGTATTTGTACTGTTAGGTGTCCCTTATAGGTTGGTGACAACGGGCATAAAACTCCAATTAACTCGTCGAGTACCGGTTTTATAGACACAATTAAAGAACAATAGGTCGCGGTCACCGGTGACCGCTTGGTGTTTGACAGTTTAAGCTGTTACATCGTATATTAATTATTAGTATACAAAAACTAAATAGAGCTTTATTGACAGCCGGAACATACAACGCAAGCTGCGCCCGAACTGACGAAAGAGGAGGACAGCGACACCCAGACGGCAGCCGATCGAGAGTCGTCTGAAGGTGAAAACGACGAGAACGAGGACTCTGACGAACTGGAGGTAAGTCTGAACTAGACTAATAGCTTACCAGCAAGAGTTTTCAACTTTATAGCAAAGTAAGAGAGCTGAAAATCAATTCTGATAGTGAAAACTAACTAAATATGACCTGAGGAATCCAGTCCATCCCATATGTAGGCAGGCATATCAGTAGACCAATAAAACAATTCATTCGATATTTTCTTACATTGTCGGTAACGCACTAGTGATGCTTCTGGTGTTGTTACAGATCGCATTAAAATATTATTATTGGAAAATAACTTGTGAGCTTGATTGAAATAATATCCTTTTTCATATGGATTGTTATAAGATGCTTCTTTATGTCAAATCAGGTCTATATATGGGATGATGAATACTATTAGGCTGCTTTGGGAATAATACAGTACCTAAAATAAATTAACCTCTACTATTTAGTCATTACAAGCCCAGTATAGTAGCATTTTTGATTTCCTAAAAATTTAGAATGGCAAATAACATAGAAGAGGACTTCCTACTACATATTTATATTAACTTTATCTTAATTTTCAATATAAAATATAATAACAAATTAACTACTTTGGAATTTGGTATATTTATTGATTTTATACATTTATGAGAGTAATGTGAAATTATGTAAATATGCGAATGATATCCATACTATAAATATTAGTTTCCGTATTATTATTCTCATAATGCATATTCTATCATATTCTTACATTTACTCGGAATATTTGGTAACAGTCATACCTCGAAGGACTTTATTTTTGGAATTTGTTCTGGTAAAATCAGGGTGGTGGAATATGGAGAGGATCATAATATTTCATTGGGGTGTTTACGCCTACTGATCGACAAGTTGAACATCCATCAATCTCTAAAACACACGCTGTGATGTCATTTTAAATAATTTATCTGCTTATAGATTTGATTACTAACGATACATATTTGACATAGTAATCCATACAAGATTTATTATGTTAAAATTCTATCTCTAGGAGGCAAATCTATCGATGGATAAATTGTTGAGACTGGCATGACCGTAAGAGCTTATCATGAGGAGCGACTGTGGGGCGGGGCGAGCGTGCAGCGAATACGTTGCGAAAACGCCGCGGTTGCACAACGAGGACTTCACGGCTGTGTCACGAACATATTACGAATTCAGAATAAGATTTGTTGTACGCAAGACACCTTACGTATATTTGCCACGAGTCCGCAACCTCCTCACTGCGCAACGGCGGCGTATTGGCGACGCATTCGCTGCGCATCTGCGGCGTCTTAGTTGTACGTCCGTGACGCACTCGATGCACGGCCGCTCCGCTTTCAGGATAAGTCCCTAAGGCGATGATCATATTATTATGGAAAGGGAATTTATGTGGAGTAGGAAAGATTCGGGGTATGACTGTTTGGTATATGTATACACGGGTGTCTCCCGGTGGTGGTGCGGGTAGCGCCCGCGGCGGGTGGCGTGGCGCGCCACGGTGGAGGACCGCGGCGCCCCCGTGCAGGCCGGCCGCCTGCACCGCCGCGACACTCCCCACCACCTCAAGAACAAACGCGTCAATCAGATCGACGCACGACGCGCACGAGACCTTATCGCGCAGGTGCTGCTACCGTCTTCCTAATCCAATATATGTACAGCCTGTTTGTTAACTCTGTAGTATTATATCGCTTGGTCTAATGGTGCTAGCTCTAATCACAGTGAACTAACTACAGCCTTTGGGTAGTGGCAAAAGCAGTTCTTCTTTACAAGTTTCTAAAGCCTTAGATATCTTCTTTGTAACAGTTTATTCTTCTTTCTGTCAAGGCCTTTGTTCTACTACCAACTCTATAGTTATGTCACTGTAAACTCATACTTATGGCCTAAACGCAACTGTGAGCATAAACAATTCACGCCCTCAGTTCCGTCTAACTTACACACGAACTGTTTTAATCAGGAAGGTATTTAATGCGCTCAGTTGTTGTTATAAGGTCTTTTTTGGACTATAAAAATTGTAAGAAATGAATTATGTAGTTTATAGCTAATGTTTTGCTAGAATGAAGTGAATTATCTCATCGTCTTCCTTGCTTTTTGAGTGTTATGATACGATTTTTTAAGTCCACTCTATTCGCATTATAGTGGGAATTCTATCACTATTTTATCACAAAACTGCATGTTTACTAAATATAATTATGTCTTCCGCAATGACTTTGATGGGGCATTTGGAACGAAATGTTTTTTATAGATATAGTGTGTGTACTGTCTCTTCAAATATATATCATTTGTTTGTACGCACGATTATAAAGCCTTTTCCGCACCATAATATATAAAAGTACTAAAAGATTAAACGAGATGGCGCTAGTCATTAGAAATTACAATCAATTTTATGATTCTAGTAAAGCCAAACAAAGCGCTTCCATAGACATGTAATTCAAGAACTCTTTTACCTTCCAGTAGGATTTGAAATTAGGTTTTAAATACAAATGAACCACCAAAAATATGATTGACAATATAGAAAACTTTAGACTATGCGGACAAGGCTTAAGTATTTTATAGTAACTACTACATAATGTAGTAACTACTACTTTATAGCAAATAGTCTATCATGTGTGTATTCTTAAATTATTATGACGTTCCTTTTTTAGTATTTATATCGATGTTCGGTCATTTTATAGCTTTTCTAATTAGATCCACAATGCTGTGTAAGTTCATTCATTAATGCATGTTGTTTACTGTGTTCAGTATAAAGTCATATTCCTGGATTATGTATTTCATTTGGTCATCCTTGTAGATCCTCCATGTTTAAGAGCCTTGTTTGTGAACAACTATATAATACATACTTTTTTAAAGTAAAATACGTTAAAGGTAGGGCATATATTTTACGTCTCGATAAAAGTTATTTTAGGCTCATATAAATGAGTTCATATTGGACGCAGCCTCCCTGAAACTCTGATTTTGTACCTGAAGCGAAAATCCTATTTTTAAAGAATAAATAAAGCCCATGCCTCAATATTACCATTTTAAAGTAGGGTTTATAAATAATTAAATTCAGTATAGAAAACAAATTCGGGGTACTTGTGTTACAATGATAATATTTGCAAGATGCTGTCTAAACATTTACGTAAACTACATGTATCTTCCATTGAGATTACTTCCTTATCATTTATTTTTGTGTTATCTGACGTTTTCAAAGATAATAATTTAAAAGTATAATGTAAGTGAAAGCCTTGATAAATGAAATTATTGGAGTGTACACAGCATAATTTTTTTAAGTATGTTTTTCTACTTCCGTACAAATATTAGCAACCAGCAACAAGTAATACTGTTGTGCAGACGGTTGGTATTATACTCGTTCGCTCATCAATTAAATAAACTGATATCGTGCAATCGTGCTGCGCATCACAATGGCATCTAAATTGCGGACTATACAATAACGCGAAAGGGTAAAAGCTGACGCACGGTCCGCGTCGAAATTTCTTGTTCACCAGAGAATAGCAGAAACAATAGCGTCGTGAGATCTCTTTCGCAGCGCACCTGTACTCTGTGAACGTACACCATAAAACGATCATCGGGGCGAGTATTCACACTTCACTCACATATGTACTGTTTAATAATTACAAAATTCTAGTACAAGACCATCTTCAATCTTAGACAAGAATCTGGTAAATTCGTAATGAGTGTGTAAATAAGTAATAAATCTGCCGGTGAATCGGTCCGTTTCTGTAAGCACGACCCAACCGTGGGTAATTGTTGGAATACCGCGGCTGTTACGGGCTGATGCGCGCGGGCCCTCGACCACAACGCTCTCGGTAGACCCTCCGCGAGGCTCGCAGAAATGAGTGCCTTCCACCGCGCCGCTTGGAACAATGCATCGTGTACCGCGATTAATCGATAAGTGAAGTGCCGCTTTCTCAATACAAGTGTAGTGCTAAATAAATCACTAACAAACACCGGCCAATTTCCAAAGTGCTCCTTATCTGTATAAATTAAAATGAGGTGCTTGAAAGCGGCAGGAGGATGGCTCGCCCGGGTGAGATGCGTATGCAAGATAGAAAGACATTTAGCGAAAGATTTCAATTTAGATTCGACTGCATTTTGTTTGGCTTGCTTTGCTTGTGTATTGTCGTGTCACGATCATACCATTTCACTGGCATGTAGTGTAATGCGACATTTAAGTTACTTCCCTACTAGCTGTTATCAGTGTGGCTTGTCTTTTGTTATTGCCTGATGACGTTCTTCCGTGATTGCATTGTAGATATTAAATTCTGCCATATAAAGTATACTTTCTTTTACAGGCAATTAAAAAACGAGAACAGCAAGAAGAACCGAAGACTGATGACGAAGAGACCGCTGAAGACGCCCATGATGGTGAGTGTCACATTAAATATATACTTTTACTAGGAAATTAAGCGTTTGATTAGTTGTTATTACGGCAAACATCGTGGTGGTGCACGATCTTCCTCTGAGATATTCGATAGTTGCGACATTATTTCACACGTTCGTGACCATAGTCTGTCGTTTTGCGATCACGAACATGAACCAAGCGGAGCCCGTCTGTCACTCTCGCGTCACACACAAACGCACCGTCTCGCCTTCATTTTTATGTGGGAAACATCTAACTGTCTAATAACTTTCCAACTTGAAAATGTACCCGTTAATTGTTAGATGTCTAAGTAGAGATCATGCGAAAATGAAGGCTCGATACAAGCCATAGTATGCTAACGATAATGCGTTCGTTATTCTGAACATTTTAATTATTGAGTTGCATGACCTCTTCCTTGTATGTACAAGAAACAACATACCTTTAATACGCAATGTTAGCATTGTATAAAATGGGTATCGCTACGTTATCAGCTTATCTCCTACACTCGGCGTGCCATTTCGTTCCGTTGAACGAAGCCCCGCAGTGTTTCGCTTGCTTCTGCCGAGTTTGCCACTAATTCCACCTCCTTCTTCAGTGAAAATTAATAACAGTGTTCTAGTTGTGTGACACACTTGAAACTAACCGATACAGAAATACGTGATCAGTGCCAAATCCGTGTGATACCTGTGTTAGGCATTGTATGAGTCAGAATCACAAGTTGATATATTCTACTTTTAAAATCGTTTGTGTTGACGCAATCCCCTTCATATCCCAGTTTCTTAATGTGTGTTATTAAGTTGTCAAAGATTTCAGTGCCGGAATAAGTGATTTAGTGATAACATAATTTAATAACGGTGTTTTTATTTAATGGCTTAATGCGATAGTGTATATTGATTCCATCATAAGTAAATAATATTATCTATTGTAAAGCACCTCTGATATTCTAGAAGCGAGTGCTCAAGTAGTGTATGAAGGTCAAGCTCGGTTATTGTTACATCGTTACTATAAATGCGTCACTTACTCCATGTTTCTATGTTTTTGTTTCGAAAATATCTCAATGTTCTACGGAACTTCGCGGTAATACGCTTTGCTCCATTTACTTGAAAATTGCTGGTTTTATACCCTGCACTTACGTGCACAGTTGCACACGTACAACTTTCCCTGTGACATACTGTCCAAACTAAGCAAATTCCGTTGCTTTACCATGTTAAGATATAATTGAATTGTATGTTCCTTAGTAACAGATTCGTTAATTTTACTGGTCCTAAGTAAACAATTAACAAGTTGTTGAATTAAGCACGGTTGCCCGCCGACCCGTACACAGTGTTGTTGATAATACTTGTTTGTTTGGTTGTTTGATACACAAACATACAGTTACTTGTTTCCTAACACTTCGGCTTGGGACTTTTAACATTTACATTACATACTACGAAAAAATACTTATAATCAAAATAACTTGTTCATTTTTCGTAAAACAATGCATAGAGGGCACCTGCGACCTTGACCCAGTATTCATATTTTCCGTGCTTGTACTCAAGCTATATTTTTCCGCCTCAAGTATCAGTAAATGTACTTCATATGATTCACGTGGTCGGAATACCAAGTTAAAGAAATAGGTTGTAAATTAGCAAACAATAACTTGCCTAAGGTTATACAGAAGGTGTTATGTGCCTCTAGGGTATAATATCTACATGTTTGTTGATACGAGTTATTGAACTGACGTTGTTATCTTATCAGCTATGACAATAAATTATTCGATCGAAACTCATTGTCAGTCGAAGCTGAACATTGCACTCTAATAGAGGGCTAGTTGCTAATTGTGTTTAAATAAATATCGTTTTATTTTTTTTAATTAATATCATCATACAAATCAGTTCACTTAAACAGTGGTCGAGACATCTCTCTTAATTGGTCACGTTTCGTTAGTGCCTTCTCGTTAAATAAAAACGTTTTCTTTGAAATTATTAAAACGGATCTACTCCGTCTGCGTGGATATTGCATGTCAAACAGTTGTTCATCAAGCAACATCGTTCGTATATCTAATTTAGCAATTATTTACATTCTCAATCACGGTTTCGTATTTGTTTGATAGATTTTGTTTTGATTATCTCTTCGAAGTAAGTAAACGTGTATTTACACAACATTGTGTTTTATAAAAATATACTTAAATGTGAATAAGTCCATTGTTTACCTGTAATTTGCAAGTATTTATACAGTGTGCAGGATATAAATCTGACATAGAATAACATCCTATCTGAACCTAAGGTCTTTGTAATTGATAGATGTTATTGTTAATCGTTTAAGTTTCTTTGAATTTTCTCTTTGCAAGTATTTATATTGTTCTCTCTCTTCTATCTATACGTCAAATTGGCTGGCACGAAATTGACAGAGCCTTTGTCCAAAAGTCGTGTCGATGTTTCGTTCAAACTATTTTAACCTCAATTAACTTTAACAACGACGGTCTTGTTCTCGAGCTTGTGGTCATTTACTTATACATCGACGATCATCATTACTCATCGTTCATGTTGTAGGTACCTACACCGTTGTAATGCAATTTACTTTCTTCGCCGTGATATGTTGCTACATTGTATAACACTTTAAACTATAATTAATTTGTTGTTTAGTCTGACATCGTTTCTAATTTGAACATACTGAGTAACAAATGGTGATATCAAGGGGATTCTCGCCACAGTGTAAAAAGAGGACATAATGAAAGACAAAAAGAGACTGGAAGTGAAGTTAAGTGTTCGCGGTGATGGTTCACTGAGTCGAAACAATCTCCGGAGTAGTACCAGGAGTAACCGCAGCAATGCAAGCAACAATAGCAGCGCGCTGCCCGTGAGCGATATATTCGCCACTGATCGTTTCTCTGCGCCGTACAACAGATCATTTGATATACTCGACAAGTACCGCAGGCAACCGAATCAATATGGATATCCAGCACAAAGCTTGCAAGCATTAAATCATTACCAACAATCCGAAAATAATGGATACACTGTTAGGGATAGAAACAACCCGTTTATCGATTATACAGACTCGACGAAGCCATATTTCCACCAGTCACAACAGCTGCCAAACGCAAACCAGTATCAATATCAGCCTGTCTACAATGATCCATCAATTCGACTGCCCGGAACGTTGCCACGATCAGTCAGTCGTGTAGACCAATCGAGGGGCAACCCTTTGAGTAGTGACGATTCCTTTCGCTCCACGCTACCTCGATCAGTGAGTCGCCTAGATCAGCCGAGAGATAATCGGATTTATAACAATGAGCCGATCCAGATGCAGGGTTCTTTACCACGATCAATCAGCCGTAATGAACCAGAAAGAAACAATTTTTATAATGAAGTCTCCAGTCGACATGGATCTTTGCCTCGATCAGCCCGATTTGATGACCAAAGAGGTAATCAAAATATGTATGATCCATCCGGTCAGTTATATAGTACTGTACCTAGATCAGCCAATCGTCAGGAGCCACAACGGGGAACTCCAATTTATCCGAATACTCATAATTCGTTGCCTTCAAAGTACGGACCAAGACGAGTACGAATAAGTGAACTGGGGCCAATAGTACATGGATATGGTGAGTTGCAATAATATTTCAAGTTAGAGTTGTCGATTGTATGTATCGTAGGTATCTGACCAAAACGTACACTTACATAAAAGCAGCTATGTTCGCAACCCGAAGGGTTTGTATGTATATCTGATCAAAACTCCGCAACAAAGCGTACGTCCTGAAATGCATAACAATAGCTTCCTTGTCGACTGTCGGGAGTTTTGGACGTGTTTGGTAATGTCTAAGGATGGTCAGACTAAGAAACAGTATCTCGACGTGAGATTTATTATTTAGTTGTTATTTATTGAATGGTAAATTTATTTTCAGCACATCAACATATTTGTTCTGTATGTAAAGTTTTGTCGTACTCCACAAAGTATGAAACAAATGTTTTATTAGCGATAATAAACATTTTGTGAGTAAGTCAGGAGAGAAATCCACAGTAGAAAGTCGTTTTGAATAGAAACTAATCTAGTCGTTAACCTGCAATATATCACGTTGTATCAAGGTATAACTACCATAAAATATTCTGCTTTCAGCTTAACCACCGTAGTGTTTGAATACTTACTTAGTATCGATATTCTAACTACCCATTAAGCTCACTGGGAACCTGTTTATCTTAACTAGACCGACAATTAAATTCAGCGGAGCTATTTATAACATGCTACAGATTTCTACCAATGATAGAATTTATAAAGTGAAAATACTTATTTACCATACTAAGGCTTTCGCATAACAGTTTAACTGCAGACTTTATTGTTATATCTAAATGTCAAATAATATTTTCTCGTCACATCTAAATATAAACAAAAGGTTTATTATGCGTGTGTGCGTATATAGGACGACATCTGGGCCAACCCTCCCGAGGGACGGACAACAATAGCTGCAGCAGGGCACTCTCCCCGCGTTTACTGGTGCGCTCTAATGAGCCAGACCGTTGTGTTAGCTGGCTCTCTCAGTACTTCATATGCCTCTACGATAACTACCCATATTGAAATTCAGTGGTGTTGTTGTATTTGTTTTTGAACAGTGAAATAAAATTCTTTGTGATGGCGGTCACAAAGTCGGCGGTTCGAGGCATTATGTGTTCCCTAATGGAGTTCACTTTTAAAGCAAGTAAGAATACCAAGCGAAATTGAATTGTTTATTGGCTGCGCTTTATTTGTGTCATTGTAAAATACTTCCAAGTTAATCCCCTCATGTGATTAAATGGAATTGATCAACTATTCCCAATAAATTAGAAATTCTTCGAACAATATATAAAGAGATTATGTTAAATGTTTTATTTTGAATTGCTTTTAATCTTGATCGCATCAATAGAATAACACTCGGTTCCGTTATGATCGGTACGTTTTGATATTCGCGTGTCACCATTTTTGCATTTTGCACAAAAGGAGCAATAGACTAGCTCGGTTAGAAGGTCGCCGACTATTTATTGTCGTTTATGTT